TATATATATATATATATATATATATATATATATATATATATATATATATATATATATGTAATATACATATATAAATCTTTTATTTCCAAAATCTTATTTCATAAATCTTTATATCAAAACCTTATAGTACTTTATGGATTTGAAAATTACAGAAGCTACTAAAGTTGACTTGTCTTAAACTGTTTCATTGCCTTAAACTGTTTCATTGTTTTCAAAGTAATGACCGTGCATTAAAAACTGCAATGTTTTAAAAAGACCAAACACAGATTGTTAAGACTTATGAAGCACCTAAAACCAAAAGGTTTTAGATATTCGTTTCAAAAGATTGCGGCTGGATATCTCAGTTTGTTAGAGCGTCAAACGAAAAGTAAAACCTAATTGAACCTAAATGATTTTGTTACGTTAGTATTGTTAAACCCTAATTAAATCGCCTAATTTTTTTTTTTTTTAGAATCCTCGTTCAGAGTAGCAGGGTGGTAACAAAACATAAAAGTAGTTAGTTACAATTAGGGGTCATCCATAAAGTACGTACGCCAAAAATTTCAAAAAATTGAACCCCCCTCAGTTGCCATGCGTACTTTTTAGTCCTCTCCCCCCTTTGAAAAGTACGTACGCTTTTGAAGAACCCCCCCCCCCCCATCTTCTCTTTTCTCTTTATGAGTTAAAAAGTTAAAATTTATATTAAAAAAAAAAAACATTATTTAAGAAATTTAAATATAAGGGATCGTCAATAAAGTACGCCGGGCATGAGTAAAAATAAGAAGTCATCAAAAAGTGGTGATATTCTTTATATTTCAAAACGCTCCATTTCATTAAATCAATTGCTCAATACTTTTCAAAAATAATATGAAGTATAAAAAGAATTTCGGAATTTCTTCATTTTTCAGTTTTGCTCGGCTCTTTTATAGCCAACCTTTTAGATACTAAGAACACAACTCCCTGTGACACTTCGGATTGTATGAGATCCTGGAACTTTAGCTTTTAAACTTGTTACCCTTAGTAAGACAACAGTCTTACTAAGGGTAACAAGTTTAAAAGCTAAAGTTTTAAAGTATTGTTAAACTTTAAATATTATTTTTTGAAATTGTTATGTAAATAGTATTTTTTATAATTTTTTAAACTTTATTTTGTAAAAAATATTTTATAATAAAAATAAGATACTATAAATTATTTAAAAACTAAACAAACAACCCCCGTTTGCGTTTATTGTAGCTTGCAAATTTAAGTTGTGCTTTAAATAGTCAGTTAAAAATTAGTTTGAAGGCGGAATTATTAAAATGAATAATAGTGAAAAGTACAAAATTATTTACCAACAAGTAGCAAAAGCTTTGCCACAAAAAAGTAAACAGGAGCAACAGAAAGAAGCTAATAAATTGTGGTATAAAGTTAAGCATAAAGAATTGACGTATGATTCAGTTTTAAAAGAACTCACACGAAAAACAATGAAAAGTAAAAGTCAGTTGATGTCTTTTTGGTCTAATGTTAAAACATCAAATAATCAATCTATTACAGTGAAGCTTCCTCTCACAAACGAAATATCAGATGAGGGACCAGAAGCTTTGTTAACATCCGATGAAGCAGACAAAATAGATTTTGAAATCAATAAAACACTAGCTTCTTCTTCTAAATTTGATATTCAAAAAAGTCAAAAATCATAAACGGAAGTACCAATTGATCAGCCGACAAAATCTCATACTCCACAACAAGAGAAAATTCAAACTGAAATTTCGCAGTATAAAGAGCAGCTGTTAACATTGGTAAATTGCGCCGTGCAGGATTGATAACTGACGAACTTAAAATAAAATCGATTTTTTTAGAAAAGCAAATAAAAATAAAACAAAACCGTCTTAAAAAAAATGAAACGCGAGGCAATCTGTCAAAGACAACGCAGAGCAAGTTTGCAACGAAAACTTAATGATATTGTCGATGACACGCCCTACTTAAAATCAAAACTTTCTAAATTCAATAGAGAAAAAAATGGTAGACCAGCTGTAATTGAAGATCAGCCAGATCTTCTTAATGCCATCGTTAACATCGCATCAATAGGAGCCGCTGCTAGCGATCGACAAAGATCGCAGGAGTTACGTTCATGTAAGACACTTGATGACTTAAATAAAAGCCTACTAAAACAGGGTTATTGTTTATCGCGATCTGCAACTTATTTAAGACTGATGCCTAAGCGATCAAACACACTTGAGGAAATACGTCACATTAAGACAGTTCCTGTGAAATTGATCAGGACTGCTAATACAGCTCGTGATAGGCATATCGATGCTGGATTTACATTTGCGTGCATGCAATACATGGATGAAGTTTGTTCAATATTTGGTCCAGATTCATGCTTTTATTTAAGTCTAGACGACAAAGCTAAAGTACCATTAGGATTAGCAGCTGCAACAAAACAATCACCAATTTTGATGCATCTTGATTATCAAATACGTTTGCCAGATCATGATTTTTTAGTTGCTTCCAGACATAAGCTTATACCGTCTGTTTATGCAGCTTGTATTATTGATTCAAACAAATTTGCTGACGCAGTGTCATATTCTGGCCCAACGTATATTGCTATTAGATCTATGAAGCATGATAGCAGCACTGCTTTTACTCATGACCGTGATTTGGAGCGTCTTGTTTCAATTAAAAATTTTAAGCTTCATATTTGTACTCCAGAAGGTCAGGTAAAACCTATATTTGTTGTTGCATGTGATGGAGGCCCTGATGAAAATCCAAGGTTTCCCAAACCATTGCAAGTTGCAATTGCAAGATTTATAAAATGGGATTTGGATGTCTATCTAACAGGAACTCATGCACCTCATTATTCAGCATATAACAGGGTTGAACGGCGTATGGCTCCGCTGAGTCGAGAGTTAGCAGGATTGGTTTTGCCACATGACCATTTTGGGACACATCTAAATGCATCTGGAAAAACAATTGATGTTGATTTAGAAAAAAATTTTTTTGCTAAAGCTGCAGAAACTCTAGCTGAGGTATGGTCGGATATAGTAATTGATAACTATTCTGTTTGTGCTGAATATGTTGAACCTTCCCAACTGTCACCAATACCAGAGCAAGATTCAAAATGGATTGAAAATCACGTAAGACAAAGTCAATATTTTTTAATGATCGTTAAGTGTGATGTTCCGAATTGCTGTAAACCTTGGCGAAGTTGCTGGAAAAAATGTTTTCCTCAACGTTTTTTACCAGGTCCAGTTGTAATGTCTCATGCTGCTAAAGGAATTTTTATTCCTGAGCCAAAGGTAGCACGAAATATTCCTAAACCTTACTTTTCTTCTATAGCGCAGCGCTTGGGATATATAGGTTCAAAAATTTCGATGGAAGCTTCCTTTGGTTTGTACTGCCCATCAATTTCACAACAAAAAATTGATCAAAGAACTTGCAAATCCTGCAAAATTTATCACGCTTCTAAAGCAAGTGTTAAACGTCACAAATGCGTGTTTAGAAACATAATCAACACGACCTCTGAGGTAAATAAAAATGACGATGAAAACAATGATACTCATTTAACAGTAAATGAAAGTAATTCTGATCAAATTCATGTCATCAAAAATATATTTGATTGGGTGAAATCACCCTTTGATTTAGATCACCAACAATTTAAATTAATTGATTAATGAAGACTATATTAATAATTTTGTTTATAAAATATTAAAACGATGTTTTGAAACCTATAAAGATAACAGTTTTTGTTTTAAATTGTGATTACTTAAAAAATTTTTATTACCCTGCTCTTAACCACAACCTAATCTTTAAAGGTACCAAACAAACATTTTCGCCAGTTTGTTGATTTGAAAGGTTTCCAGTTTGCCAGCAAAAGCGCTTAAAGATCAACTACACAAATCTTTCAACAAGACTTTTTTGTTATATTTTTTGTTAATGATCTTTTAAACGATTGAAAAGTAATACACTTCACTGTCACCTTGATGTTCAGAGTTAAAAATTTTCAAACACTAAATTGATTGCTTGCATTTTTTTTTAGCTGAAATACTTTTCAAAAATTTATAATTTCCAGTTTTCTCAAGCTTCTTAGTTTATTATATTTATCAAAAAATTACCCTATATAAGATGATGCAAATTTTGTTACGTGACATTTTTTATAATCAAGATATAATAACTATGTTCTCATACACAAAGAATGTTTGTATTTATATAAGATTGAGAACAAAAGTGTTTTCATCGCGGTAGTTATTCCCCTACTTTAATTGCGATACTACAACATAGGTGGAGGATATGTAAAAAACTGTGACATTAAAATTTTGAAAGAAAGTTTCCAGGCTGGAGATAAAAACAATTGTTTTGACCATTGCAAGCAAATCATTATAACTTTCTCTATTCCTAAATAACTAATAAACGTAACCAAGTATGTAAGTTGTTACATTTATAAAACACATCAAACGATAACCATGAGGTGCCAAATAAACGTGCCTGCCCGTTTATTTGGGTTAAATGTTGTGGATTATTATACTAAAAACCCACAACATTTTTACCAAGCCCATTAAAACTTATTACGTTTTTATTGTTAAATTTAAACTTCTTTTACTAATTTTAAGGTTCCTTTAGTAAAAAGAACTTTAAAGTTTCCAAAAAATTGTAATTAGATCTTTTTTAAGGGCAAGTATACTTCCCTACCTCCCCAACTGACATTTCAGAGCCACGGTCATGGTTTTATTATTTTAAAAAAAATATTTATTTATTATTATATTCAAAAATATCTAGTTATTTATTAAAAAACATCTAGTTATAGTTAAGTATTTGTTAGTGGTGATAAGTTAGAAATACAAGCATTAACTAAAATTACTTTTTTTAATTAGTGCGTACGTACGTTTATATTCAACCCCTCCCCCATACGCTTTATATTCAACCCCTCCCCCATACGCAACCTCCTCCCCCATACGCTTTTTGAAGACCCCCCCTCCCCCGATGAGCGTACGTACTTTATGGACGACCCCTTAGTAAAGAGGTAAATAAGAAAAAAGAAGTGCTACCGAGACATAAAATATATTTAAACACAAGAGCACGATTGTTCGAAAACTTTACAAATTCATTTTGTATTTTTCTAAAAAATTATTTTTTTTCTACTTAGCATAAAAAAACACCCCAATAAAGTAAAAAGTGGACAATAAAAATTCAGGAAAAATTGTTGATAAAAATAAAAAAAATGATTTTTTTCCAATGCTTGTATACAGCTATGTTAAATAAATTTAAAAAAATAAAACAATTTAAATTTAATATTTTTTCCACCAGTCGCTTCAACCTTCTTCTTCTGAAGCTATTTTTGTTTTTAAAGCCGTATTTAAATCAATTTAAAGCCATTATTTAAATCAATTTAAAACTACGGCTAGTCATATAAGAACATCTTAAAATATACATATTAGCTGATAAAAAAAAAATCACATGTAAGATATAAAGATGCCTACCAAATTAGAAAACCCACATAACATTTAGTTACGCGGCATCTTTAAAGATGAACAAATCTTCTGACTCTAAAGCATAATTTTAATACTCTTCTACCTGTTCTTTATGTCAGATCGAACTTTTTTTGTAAAGCGACCGAAAACTAATCCGCTAACAAAGAGTATGCTTAAAATCATCAATGCAAATATATATACGTAGTTTCTATTCGGCGAAGCAGCTATGGCATCAAGTACAGTAGAAATACTATCAAAAGTTGCTATTTCCTAAAGAAAAATTTGTAAATTAAAAAATATTTGAAAATAAAAAATCTATTGGAAAATCAGAATTTATATGAAATTTCAAAAATAACGTATTAGCTCTTATTTAAGTAAAAAGTAAATTTCTTTTTTTAAACTACATTATTATTTAAATATGATGATTATTTATGGAATGTAAGAACTTACAACTTGTGCATCTCTATATAAAGACATCCTCTTAGCAAGCAAGTTTTTGCAGTTTTGATGTAAACGAAGATTCTTAGCATTGTATACATCAATCAAACACATTATAACTAAATAGATTATTTTAATAAATTATTTGAATAATATAGAATTTCAACTAATGCTGTTACTAATAAATTTATAAAATATATAAAAGTTGGGTGCAGAACAAAACATCATACCTTGACCGTTTTCTTCTGGCATATCATTGCAGAAATGGCGAATATCTCTGGCGCAAACATCATTTAATTGACGGTCTACGTGGACGTCCTCAATCCCTTCAACTATTAACTTTTTCACTTCCTGTAAATATATATTATTCTGGTTATTCTTTGTCAAATTGAGAGGCAGAGATAAGAAGGTCAGAAGGTCAGAGAGGAAGAGATAAGAAGATTCCGGATTTATTATTTCATTTCAAGACAATTTTTTCATGAATTTTAAAATTGACTATATAATCCTATTTTCCTTCAAGGAAAAAAAAAGTAGGATTTAAGAAAAGTTTTAGAATCAACCATTTGGAGTCAACCATTTTTTAACAGTGAATATGGAATTAATTGGATATCGGGATTCTAAATTTAAAATTTTGGTTTACAGGAATTTTATGACATGTTTTCAAAACATTTATACCGTAAAAAGTCATTAAATCAACAAAATAATTCTAGGTTTCCAGGGTTCAAGTGAAAATAATAGTTCCAATGTTCTAAAAACTCCATATACCTGCTAAAAAGTGTTGAGAAACAACACCTTTTATATATGTATTAAACTGTGTGTCATTCATTGTATAAAACAAAAGATTAAGATGTAAAGAAACCTCTTTGCAAGCTTTTGATTGTATTCTTGCAATATTTTCTTTCATGCACTCCATGACTTCGTTATATTCTGATTTAGAACAAAGCTTCATAATCTAAAAGAATAAAATCAAATACAACCATACTGAATATAAAATAAAGAGGGTGCTTTTGTACATACATCGATGAAAGGTTTTGACAGGCAGTAAACTTGTAAGATAAAATTAAAACTCACTAAAAAGTTTTTTGCAATAATCAACAATAATAACAAACAGTAATAAACTAAACCAAGAACTGCTTTTTTTCAAGAAGCAGAGAAAGTCCCATAGAAGTTATGTAGCAATTTTACATGGCCATGCAAAATTTACCGACTTTTAGAGAATATCTTTAGTGATTATAAACTAGTGCCAATTGATTTTTATGGTTTTTATTAATGAACACTTTTTGATTGATGAAGTGCAAATATGTTTTATAGTTTTATTAATAAACACTTTTTGATTGAAGTGTATAAGAAATCTTAAGGTAAAAAAAAGTGCCACTATAATAGATGTTTTGCATCAAAGATCAACTCAAACAAAAAATTTCACTTCTAAAACTTAAATTTGCTACCAAAAGGTCCAAGGCAAAGAAATTTTAGCTGGATGCAGTTAACATCTGCTGAGATAAGTATCTCAGCTCATTGCTTCAGGTGCCATGCTCTATTTGTGAATGAGTAAAGTTCTCTTTAAGCTTATACCATGCCTAAAGTAAGCAAAGACATAAACATAAGAAACCATCAACACCACCTAACTAATTTAATATATCTTTCACAAAGATTTTTGGCCTTCAAAGTAACTTTCCAAGTTGAATCTTACCCTTTCCAAAATTCAACAGACTTGCTGGCCCTTCGTAAGAATAGTTTAAATTTGACTGTTTCTTCTTCAGATCTCAGTATTGATGGGTACTATCCTTTAACTCGTAAAGACTTCAATAGGCACATGCTTGGCTCAGGGTTATACTTATGTATCAATTCACCAGCTTGTAGAGAAGTCAGGTTTGCATCCTTTGACCATTCTTTTAGGTGCTTCCACTTAGCACTACTTTAATTTATTACCTTCCTCTTTGTTCTTTATAGTTCTCCTTCTCTAAACTCTTCTTCAACGTAACTTCAGACCAAATTGACCGTGCTCTTTCTCTTATTGGCAATATTGTTGTTATTGGTAACTTTAATGCTAACCACACTGAGTGGCTTGGCTCTAACACTACTGACCCTGGTGGAACTAAATCCCATAACTTCTGCAACTTTGTGAATTATTTTCCGGACAACCTAATTATTTATATTCACGCCTCGATTTGTAGCTTGTCTCAGACTCTAGCTTGTGTTCAGTTTCTCCTTTTTCTCCATTAGGTGGTTACAACGATGCAATGATCTCTATAAATTTTTCATCTCGTACTTCTTTTTTAGACCCAGACAAGGATAAGGCAGAACTATTTGCGAAGAACTTTTCTTCTCGATTCTTGAAAATTATGCCTATATTCTTCCTTCCATTCCAATTAAACAGGTTAACCCACTGTTAGACATTCAAATCACTGCAGCTGCTGTTGTTAAAGTCAAATCTCTATTAAACTCTTCTACAGCTTGAATTCCTGTCATAGCCTCACTAATGAGTTCTTCAGAACTCTCGACAATTCTCTCTATTTAATAAGTGCTTGACTGAATCTTGCTTTCCTATTTCCTGGAAAATGACATTAATGGTTCCAATATTTAAAAACTCTAGAGAACATTCTGATCTCTCATCCGATTTGCCTTCTATTAATAGCAAGGTCTTTGAGCCTTTGATCAACAAATTTATAACATCACATCTTGAGTCAAATAACTTACTGTCAGACAATCAATCAACTTGCTAACTGGTGCAACTTAAAGATTTTATTTTGCATTAGATGGAGGCGGCAAGGCTATTGCTATTGCTCTTGACTTATCTAAAGCTTTTGACAAAGTTTGCCCGTTTTCTTCATATGGTGTATATGAGAAAGTTTTTTAGATTATCAAATCATTTTCAAGGCCATCACTCTCCTTCATTTCCAGTTACCTTTCCCATCACCATAAAGTTGCATCTTTTAGATGTCATCATTAGGTCCATCAACCAAAATTCATTTTCGTTCAACTTGTCATTCACCAAAGTCTCATTCCTTTACTGTATCTGTCCTTGCATGCTCCAAAAACTTTAAGTTGTTTAGCTTTTTTCCCTGCACTTCAACCCTTTGGAACTTTCTCCCATCTTCATGTTTTCCTGACTCATACAACCTTCAACTTTGCAAGTCTTCTGTTTCTTCACCTGTTTCCTTGCTCTATAACTATATTCTTTTTTTCTAGTAATTTGTTACTTGTGGTTGTTTGCAGCCTTGTAAGGAATGAACCAGAATTTAAAAAAAAAAAAAGATCAACAGAAAAACAACAGATAGCTCTGTGAAAATAATAACAAAGCCCTAATTGTCATGAAAACCAGATTTCCTGCTACAGTGTTACAAGGTGTTGTCAACAATCAAAGATATATTATAACTCTGCTTTTTTTTCCACAAGGCATGTATGTAGGTGACTGCTGAAATTTACCTTGATGTTTTGAGAGAAGCGGTTGTACTGTCGATGAAGCAAGTAGCAAATATACGCCTTTTTTATTCATTATCCATGGATAAAGAAAAGTATAGAAAACTACGATGTACTCAAAATTCTTTTTTTTTTTCAAGATTTTCCATTCAAATTGAGCCAACGATTTCAATAATAGAGACTTAAAAAATTTAAATATAATTACCATTAAGAGGCATAATCACATCATGTTATCCAAGTCTTTGTCATTAGTTAAAATATTTTAAAACATTTATTATTGTACTTTACACATGCTTTTTTTTTACAATAAATGACAATATTAAAATTTATTAAACAGCAATATTAATTGTAATAGAAATACTATATAATACTTATATATATAAAACTATATAAAACAAATTTATTATAATCCAACTGAAGAAAAAATTAAAAAAAAAATGGTTTTACAAAGTTTAAAAAAATTGATTTTAATTCAACAATTAATGATGTACTTAATTTTTAACCGCTTTTGTGCTAAAAAAAAAATTTATTGTAATTTAAGTCTTTTATAACTTGTAAGTATTTGCCCAAACCAATGCATGTACAGCAGTCCCTGGAGTTTTATTTCTATTTGATTAATACAAGGCCTAGCATTTTAAGATACTTGTACAAATATGCATATAGGGTTAGCACTATTGTTATAGGGTTAGCAATTAAAAATAAAAATTAAATAAAATAATGATTACAATACAATACAATAATACTGAATTGTAATACCGTAGATTAAAACATTATTTATGGTTATTGTATTGCTGCGAATAAAAACATTTACAATAACTATTGTATTGTGTTTTTTTTTTCTAACAATACATTAAAACTCTAAAACTATTGTATTATATTGCTGTGATGTAAAACAATTACAATAACTATTGTATTGTATTGCTGGGATAAAAAACAATTACATAAGTACTGTGGTGTATTATATTACTATTTCAAAGTCTAATAGCTATTGCATTTTATAGTATTTAGATTCTTTTTTTGCACATTTTTTATTATTTGGGCACTAGATAATTTAGCGGTGCCCGTGACGCTCGCTTTCAGCAGTCATTTATATATATAAATTTTATTTATTTTGAGAAGTGAAGTGAAGCCAGGAAAGCCAAAGATGTATATATATTATGTATACTTAATAAATATTAAGTTCAGGGGCGCACATGGCACCCATTTCTAGCAACCATTTACATATATAAAATTTATTTATTTGGAGTTTAATAATATAACTGTTTAAATAATAATTTATTTAGAATTAACATTAATAATATTCATTCAAAATCATACAAATATATAATTTATCATATGCTTGTAATTAAATAATTATTTACTTTAAGAAGTGAAATTTTTTATTTTTTTATAATTTTGTCTAAACTGATATTGACATGTTTCACCGGATGATGATGCCTAAACTAATTGAATAACTACATTAAGCACATGAAAATATATTTTTTTTCAATATATCTAACCGCTAATGTGTAATCAATTCAGGGTTGGTACCCAAAAACCCAAACCCAAAAACCCACCCAAAAACTCACCCAAAAACCCAAGACCAAAAACTCACCAAAAACCCAACTTTATGGGTTTTTGGTCTTAAATTTTAAATTTTTTTGTTCATAAATCAATTTCCATTAACACACAAGATTTGATGCTGCTCAACTAACAACAAAAAATGAAGTTTAGTAAGTCATAAACAAGAATTTTATTTTACTTGGAGCAATAATATTCAAGCTTAATCATTTAAAACAAAGTAATCTAAAAGTCATCAGCAATTGTGCATCTTGATCTTAAATGTCTGTAAATTCGTACAAGCATTTCAGCTTTTTCTCTTCCTAAACGATTTCTAATTTTGCTCCAAATAATCCCAAAAGATGAGAAAAATCTTTCTATGGATCCAGTACTAGCTGGACAAGTGTGCAACTGCCGTAAAAATTTTGCAAAATTTGCAGGCAATTTGGAAGACTTAGATTCTTTCATTTCTATAATTCTCCACCAATTTGTTGCTGATGTTGTGCTTTTAACACTATCGTTGAATAAATATGTTGGGAAACAATTAGCATCTTTTAGTTTAAACGCATAATAGCCTGGCATAAATTCAGGATAGACTTCATTCAACCATTCCTCAGCTTCTTCTTCTTGACTTCTATCCAATGTTCTTCCTAAGTAAATAAGTAAAGTTATAAGAGTAGTAAACTTAAATAAAAACTTAACATTTGTTTTTATTAAAAATTAATCAGATGCAATACTTTAAGTTTTTTACAATTGTTTAGTTACCTTCATATTTTGGATCTGTTAAATTGGCAAGAAAATGACATGGAACAATTGCCTTCTTGAACCTCTTTAAAATATCATCTTTGTACAAAGCCAATTTTTCATTATGTATGAGACTTTGCCAAATCTCAACTGCTTCAGACAAAGTTGTATCGTCTGCTTGCAACTACAGTAAACACAATAATTTTGCTAATAATTAGGTAAATAAAGTTAATGGTGACATTGTTCCTAATATAAGTGGTTTTAATACACTTAATATAATTAAATTTAATAAATCCAATTAATAACTAATTTTATTAACCTTATCTAACGCAACACCAACAATTTTCAGTTGTGCATATAAATTTATTGCTTCTCTCTGTATTGATAGATTGTCAATTAGGCTTCCTATCGAAGGATCAATGGATTCCATATGCTCACCTCTAATTTCAACGTACAGAGAATGATTAGATATGTATGTCTGTAAACAATCTAGTTGGGAGTTCCAGCGAGTATCATTAGGTAGCTGTGGCATCAGTCCACCTTTTTCCAATAACCAACCCTATAATAAATTTATTTAAGAAAATTTAACAAAGAAATATTAAAAAATAATTTTGTTAAAATAAAGCTAGGATCTCTTTTGCCATCATTATCATTAGACTTATATCATTAACACAGCTGTGTTATTTCATAGTATTGTATTACAGAATATGATCAATAAGTAAAGAATTTAATACATACATGTGGTTGGTGATGATTACGAAAATATTTATGAATTGCTATAATATGCTTTACTATAGACTTTGGAGAGACATCCTTTTCAACCAAATTTAAAAAATGAGCAGAGCAACCAAATGTTATCAACTTAGGGGCTTCAGCCTGCAAAAGTTTTCTCATTTTAGACATTTTATTTTCGTTGTCAGTGCATACTGCAAATACCTAAATAAAAAATGAAACATATATGTGTATATATATGAAGGCCTCAACGGAAGAACGATCAGAGTCACACTTTTGATGTTTTGAGAAAACATCAATTTTTAAGATTTAAAACACCATCATGTAGTTCAACAAATTAAAATCACCCCAAAAATCATTTTATTAAAATCGTTCTTCCGTTGAGGCCTTATATATATATATATATATATATATATATATATATATATATATATATATATATATATATATATATATATATATATATATATATATATATATATATATATATATATATATATATATATTAAATAAAGCAGTTAAAAATCTAACACTTACATCTTTATTGAACGTTTCTTTAGCAATTTTAATTGCATCCTTAGCAGCTTGAGCGCAATACTCTGCTGTTTTTGATTGGCTTCCAGTGTCAAATGCAGAAATGAGATAAGGTTTATTTTTACTATGGATGCTATGAGCAATTATAGGATCATTACTGAATGTACTCCAACCATCTTGAATTAGGGTAACAGCACTATCATCAGCAAGATCATTTTTCATTAAATTGATTACTTCTTCATTTATCTTTACTAAGAGTTCTAAAGATATCTGTTTTCTATTTGGTGGCTCATATCCAGGTCTAAGTTTTTTAAGCAGCTGGTAAATTCAAGATTTTCTACTACGTTGAATGGTATACTTGCTGAAAAGAAAAATCTTGCAACTTGTAAATCCAGTTCATCCTTCTGATTACTTGTTGTTGTAGTAACAAATTTAGAAATAGATGTTTGCTGTTGCATCGTCAATGCAGTTGACTGAACAATTGACGAATAAAAAGAATCACTAATAAAGCTTAAACCATCTTGCTCATTATCATCAGACAGGCTAGACTTATTTGATGCTGCAGATGTAGATGGCCTTGACTCTAAAACTGATATATCACTTAACACTTCAGCGGAATTATTATTGCTTCGTTTATTCTTTCTTCTGCATTTATCCAAATGGATCTTAACTCTTTCTATTTTTTTAATTATGCTTACTTTGCAATAATTACATATTACTCTATTTGGTTGATCACTTAATATGGTCACTTCATTCCACTCACTAGCCTTATTTCTTCTCCCTAAATGATACTTTGGCATGTTGAAGACGTATAATCTACTTATACTTTAAATTTAACTAAAAAGATAACTCTATTTAAAAATAGATTTATATTATAAAAAAATGCAATCTGATTATTAATAAAGCTTTTGTATAAGAAAATATACCTGTAAAAAATGAAAAATAGCTTTATTATATTATAAACTATAAATTAATCAAACTTTGATTACTAAAGATTTATACCAAACTTTAGCAAAAACCCATCAAAAACTCACCCAAAAACCCACCCAAAAACCCAGCTGGGTTGGGTTTTTGGTCAAAAACCCGGGTTTTTGCCAACCCTGAATCAATTACATTGTCATGGAATCAGAGAACCATTGACCTGGGCAATAATTGATTAGATTGTCTAAAAATGTGACCTACTTTTGTTTTGTTAAAAAATTTTCTACAATTTCAGATTGTTCGTCACCTATCAGACCGTACCAGTAAATTTTGTGTGGATCATTTTTGAAAAATGAGGCAGTTTAGAACACCAAATAAATATTGTTGTTGTTCTTGATTTATGTAACAAAACTCTTTTATAACTTTGCAACTAGATGTCCAGTTACTTTATGAAACAGATACAGCTATAAAACCGAAGGGAAACAAAAGACAAAGTTATAATAGAGTAAGCATGAGTTGAGTAAGTTTTGAAACAATTGGACAGGTGCCTAATGTAAAAGCAGATAAATTAGTGGAAGAAATGGTAGTAATTAATCATGTCTATCCCCAGCAGTAAAAGAAATACAGGCCCGATTAAACTCACTTTTATAGAGCTATATAAAGTTTGCAATGAGGACAAGTGATATTCAGTAAATAATAAAAGAAACAGAATCAATACTTATATATTAGTTGTACCCTATTTCAAAGTCACTTATCTCGGAGACTGGACTGTTAAAACATTTATTAAATTTTGACACTAAAATAATTTTTTTTATTACAATAACAATATATTGTTATTGTATTATAATGACGAATTACAATACAATATTTTTTGTTATTGTAGTGGATCATTACAATACATTTTTTTTTCAGATATTGTTATTGTTTTATAAAGATGAATTGCAATTCAATATTTATTGTTATTGTATTACAGTATAACAATAGTTGTAAATCACAAAATTTGTTATCGTTTCTAAATTAAGTTAATACAATAACAATAGTTATTGTTATTGTTTTCATTACAATTACAATAGTCCTAACCCAAATTTAGTTCTCTTTTTTGTTTGCAAATACTTTTTTAATATAATAGTTTGTAGTCAATCTAATATTTTCATTAACAAACTTTCCGATAGCAGTGGTGCATTGCATATGGAAGTTTGGAAATCTTTGCTATCGTAACTGGAAGTCTTTTCTTTAAAAGTAGATATTTATGCATTTGAGGCATTAAAACACTAAGACAATTTAAACTTTACAATAAAGTCGTGAGTTTCATACGAGTCTCATGTGAGTTTTATATTAAATAATCATAGTTAAACTTTATGTTTATACAAAGTAAACAAAACTTAAAACTTATTTTATGTGCAAGTGAGTTGTAGATGCTATTTTATTTTTTAATTACTTTTCAATAATCTGATGTCTCAAAATAATTAGCGTGTGTAATTTTCGCTCGAAACAAAACTTCTTTTCTTTTCAAATGATTAATCTTTCTTTCTGAATGTAACTCATCTTTACAAAAGTTTTACATGAACTTATATGAACTAACTACCCATAAAAATTGGCATTAAAAAAACCGCATAGTACATAATTACAAATAAAATATATAAGAACTATTAAAAAAAAAAAGGATCCACGTAACATCTGAAACTTTTTACATCAAAATTACACTCCTCCTTGATCCTTAAGGATCATACAAATAATCAGCATATAATTGGGACTGTTCTCGAGTATTTCGTGGTGGGGACTCTTCTGTTTCTTGGAATCTATTTTTAGCTTCAACGTTTATTTCTAGCTAATGCTAGAAACAAACGTTGCGTGTCTTAAATACACTTTTGCTTGGCTCAACATGGTTTTACGCGTTATTACGCGTAAAACAATTGTCCGTGTTTATTTCTATTTCGACTTTAGGAGTATTGCATAATTTTGAGTGTCGTTTTGAGATCAAATACGTTTTAAGTGACGCGGGAACCCCATTAACTTCTACAATTTGTTTCGAAATGTTTCGAATTGGTATTTGGCACTTACCCGGTGGGAAATGAGCTAGCGACTAGCTAGCTTTATAGCGATTTTCTAGCAATTTTTTTTTTAATTTCATTTTTTCCTAATGTCTTTAACATCTTTAAAAACTTGATTTTTAGTGTTGAGTCTATTATAATTATGAGAATAATTGAATTTTAAACATTGGGATTTTGTCGCTATCTACATATCGTAGCTTTGTAACTAGCTACAAAATATCTACAAATCTATAGCTGATTGATAGCTACTTTTTTAGACAACAACTTTATTACGATATGACGCTAGCTACAATAGCATATAATATTTTTCAGATTGTTTTATAAAGATGAATTGCAATACAATATTTATTGTTATTGTATTACAGTATAACAATAGTTGTAAATCACAAAAATTGTTATTATTTCTAAATTAAGTTAATACAATAACAATAGTTATTGTTACTGTTATTATTTTCATTACAATTACAATAGTTCTAACTCTATATGCATATACGTTTGTATGTATATACACACACACACACATAAAAATGGCTAAAGTACAAAAATATTTACGAATAGATTAATATAGAAATACAATTCTACTATACTTTTAACAATAAATAATAACTGATTAATAACATTTCCACAACCAACATTACTAATTCCCATCAATTAGGATAGTATTTTGTTATGGACAATTAATGTAGAATATATTTTCTTAATTCTTAAACTAAAATTTTATAAAAAGTTGACGAAAGAAAACACTTTAACCTACAGTCTAAATAAAAACGAATAAACGACACATACCTCAGCACCACAACTTGCTAAAAACTGAGGGTTTAAATTTTTATCAGCAGCAGCTTCAACTTCACGATGACGAACAAAGGTTTCACAGTTAGGTTGAAATTTCTAAAATTTAATAACACAAAATTATTATTTTTGACTTTAAATACTTATTAACTGCAGTTACTAAAATTTTTTTAAAATACCAACCTTTTTAGTTAACAATGCATTTACTAAACAACCAAACACAGCTCCATCATCTACACCTTTTTTTGCTTTAGCCAATTCTTCAGGGCAGTAGCTTTTTGCTTCTTGCATGCAATTTTTGGTTAAATCGGCGTCAAGAAAAAAAGATTCAGCCTGTTCAATTTGACGTTCTTGTACAATTTCTCGACAAGCAGGTTTCATCTCTCTGTCATGAGTGACTCCACGCAAGCACTGAAGAATTTCATGAGATTCTGTATAAGTCATACAGTACTTTTTTATCATTGACTTACATACATGCATCATTCTATAATCAAGTTCAGTATCTTGAGATTCCATTTCTTCTTGCTTGAAAAGCAAATCTTTACATGTTTTGTCTTGAAGTTTTCTGTGATTTTTACGAAGACATTCCTCTACCTAAAAACCCATTTTATTAGATCCTTTTTTAGTTATATATATATATATATATATATATATATATATATATATATATATATATATATATATATATATATATATATATATATATTGCATGGTAGTCAGAAAGTTTTTCCCATAAACTGTTGTTTTAAGGAGCGCGTAATAAACCTGACCAGAAAATGTTAAAAAACTTCAAATTTTTTTTTTTTTAAATGATAGACTGCCTGCCCAAACCAAACCCTCAGTCGATGTAGCAGCACTCCCTTGCGAGTCAGGCTATTTGTCAGACGATGTAGCAGCACTCCCTTGTGAGTCAGGCTATAAGATAGTCAATGTAGGAACACTCCCTTGTAGCAGCAGGCTATAAGATAGTCAATGTAGCAACACTTACGCATGTTTTAAAAATGTTTTTTAATAAAATAAAAACAAAAACACCACTAATTACAAAAAACTTTTTAGTCATTATTAATGCGGTTTTTTTAAAAAATAATAAAATTTAATGTACTTCCGCATTAATTTATTGCTTTGACATTTGGACGACAATGAAACGCAGCTTAAGAGACAAGGTAAAAAAATTGTAGTCGAAAGAGACTTTTTATACCATAAAAGTCTCTTACGACTACACTATAAGGATATATATATATATATATATATATATATATATATATATATGGAAAAAACACATCTTTTTTGTTCAACACTGTGTTTACAAGGTAAAACTAATATTAAATATATTAAAATATTTCACGTCCCGGAGGCAATCCACTGCTGTAGAGTGGTAGCCCTCCTACAAAAGATTTGAATTGGTGTACACAATTGCAAATCAACTACAACAATATGAGTGCAATCGAGAAAAAACCTATTGAAGATATTATCAACGAGGCCCTAGAGCAGGCTAAAATAGGAGAAACTATCAATAACAATGCATTTGACAAAAACTACAAAAGTAAAGTTGTTGATATGATCAAAATTACATTAATGGTGGTTATAACTCAAATTAAACATCAGCATGACAAAGAGATCAATAATTTTCAAGACAAAATCAATGGAGTAAATAACAAACCAACAACATCAGCTAATCAGTCTTATCTCAATATAGCAAAGCGCAACACTTATGTTAACTTTGCAGCAACGGAAATAAAAACTTGAAAAGAGAGGGAATCAAATATAGTTGTTGTTTTTCTTAAAGAGTCTAAAAATAGAAGCGATGAAGATCTTGTAAAAGAGTTTTTTGAAGCAATTGAAGTAAACCATGAGGAAATTCACTAGGGCATCCCGTACTTTTCAACTTTGTTTAAAAAACTCGGCCCTTATAATTTTTTTTGCTATTAGGTATATACATTAAAGAAAGACAAATAAATTTATTAGAATAAAGGCAACATTTGCAAAAATTGACCTTAATTACCTTAATTTTCAAAATGACCTTAGTTTTCAAAAATTAACTCAAATGGGGAGGGGGATTAAAATCATATTGTGTCTAAGATTATCCTATATAGATGGTAAAAACACTTTAAAAACTTATTTCAATAATGTCAGTAAATATAGAACAGTTTTAAAATATTTAGAGTAGTTCTCAAGCGCTCCTTCCTTCAACAACCTTCACCTCCCCCCCCCCCAAGCCCTTATGTAAGTGTAAATGGTTTTATAAATGCTTACTTAAAATATGAGGGTTATATAAGTTGATAAGCAAAAATTAAACTCATTTTTTAATTTTTATAACTCTACTAGAGGTACTGAAAAAGAATGCTAAAATTGAATGAGGTCCTTCTTGCTGTTAAAATGAGGCATTATTGACCTATTTTCTGCTCTTGCACAAATAAATCCATCTCGTCTTTCAAAACCAAACACTTTCAGAAGCTGCAGTTAGCTAAATAAAATAAATTCTTTTTTTAAAGTATTTTTAATACAGTAAAATTTTTTTTTACATTTTTAAAAACTAATATATTATTGAAATTAGGGAAAGTTAATTTTACCTCTTTAACTGCCCTCTCAACTCCTTGTGTGTGAACAGGGAAATAAGGAACTACCATAGGACAATGCAGGATTTTTTTTAGCTCATTTATGTTCATTTGACAGGTTTATAGGCCTCTTCGTATGAACCTGTCAAATGAAGATAAATGAGCTAAAAAAAGAGAAGATAGGTTCATAGGCCTCTTCCCATGTTATTAACTCAATCAATTTGGTTGCACACAGATTTAAATGAGGAAGCTTATATGTTCTAGGAGCTAGAGTTCCTGTTTCCTCATTTTTTCTAATTTCTAAAATTTTGTTTACAGCAAATTCCCTTTCAATTTAATTTTGGCTGCAAAGTAATGTCTGCTACAAGATTTCAGAATGAGAATTCCATGCTGATAATCTCACATCTTTTTCAATAACTTTTTGTACATTTTTATCTTGAAGTTTGATAAGGTTAAGTTGGTTCAAGATGTGCCGTGCCCCTTCTATCCAGCTATGCTTCACTTTTATTTGGAACCACATAGGGAAGTATACTGATACAAGAAACTTAACAATTAATTCTAGGTTTCTTAGGTCATCTCCCTCTAACTCATGCTCATTTATCCACAATAAAAATAAGGAAGAGCCTGTATTGAGCCACCTTGAATAAACTATAGTGCCTGGTTTTTGGTTTGCCAAATCTTCAGTAGGAGTTCCTGAAATTACTGTCTGGAATTTTATAAATTACTGTCTGAAAATTTTATAAGCATATTTCTGATCTGAAGACAACTCTTTTACTATTTCATCATCAAGTTCAATTAAACCAGGACCTATAGATATTGGCTTGAAACTGTAATTTCTTTCCATTTCAGTAACCTTGAAAAGCAACTTACCAATCCGTCCAGAAAACCCTGTCTTTGAGGTTGTCTTCCAATCAAGCTCTTCTACTAAATGCGGAAAACAAAGTTCGATTGTGTGAAGAGAGCATATTAGCCACCCACTCATTTTCTTTTTAATTTAATCTCTAAACAATGAATAACACCTCCATTATGGCCTGTATTATTTTATTTGCTATATGTTCAGCAGGCTTAATTTTTAATTTTTCACAAATTTCTCCTTTTGTAAAATGATGAAGATATCTACCATATTTATCAGTCAAAGTATAGTGATCTTCCTTTTTAATTAAAGGATAAATTTTTTCTTCATTAAATGTTATTAAATTGGTTTCGTCACTTCTTCCATCAAAGAGAATACAAGAAACATTCTCAGAACCTAATCTATTCTCTGCAAAAACCTGACACTCTGACATAATTTTATCTTTAGCTCTATGCACTTTATTTTTATCCAGTAATAAAAAAAGAGCTGATTCTGGAACAACTTTAGCTTCTACCAAATTTTTTAAAAATCCTGAAGCAATTGCAGTTGCAGCAGTGTTTGAAACTTCATATCTTATTGCAGCAATAGCAGTATTTTGAATCTTCATATAATTTCGCTTTACTTACAAATCATCATTTATGTTTAAAAAATCAACATGATCAGTGTAACTAGAACATTTCAACTCATTTTTAGAGCACTCTTCTTTATTGTTACTTTTTTCTGAAACCTCACTGTAAACTTATTAAATCAGACATTGCTGTGCTTGTCTTTTTTCTTGTTTTTATACCACTCATTGTAAATTTTCTCTTTTACTTCAACTATATAGTATTCGTGGGTTAAAGTTAATAAAAATATAAAAGCGAATTACAAAAAATATATTGCAAAAAAAATCAAACATAAAGAACTTTTTTGTTTCAAAAATTTCCTATGCAAAACTGTTGTGAAATGTAAAAAATTTAATTTTATCAAGAAGTTTATATGGTTTTTTATTGCTTCCACATAAAAATGTATTTACGCTTCGAGATAATTTTAAGGTCAATAAAATATAGCAATAAGTCAATTTTTGCAAATGAAGACCTATTAATAGCAGCTTTATTTTAACAGATTCTAAATTTATATACTTTCTAGCAAAAAAATACCAAGGGCCAAGTGTTTCTTATAAAAAAAAGTTGTTTTTTAAAAAGTTCGAGATGCCCTATTGTTCACGTTCGTCATTACAAAAGAAGAAACAAACCTACCAATCTCAAGAATATGAACCAGGGTAAACAAGATCTAATTGGTATAATAAAAGTTGTGTTTAAATCGATAGAGGCACAACGAGACGCCCAAGCGTTCAGAGGAGTGTACACTCGAGAGGACCAAACAGCTGCAGAGCAAGAAGCTTTCAATAAACTATACAACGAAATGAAGCGAAAGAATGAAGATCTTATGAAAGCTAGTCTGAACAAACCCTTTGAATGGATCATCCACAGACGGACTGGATCTGTGTGCTTCATTGACACAGTCCAATCTGCCAATAACAAAAGGTGTATTTGGATTAGCAAAGAACAATCGGATCAAATCAAAACAGCAAAAACCAGAGTCAATAAAAACAATCATTAACTCTTTTCCACAACCATTGTCTTCTCCACAAAATAAATTAGCACTACGCCGACTAAGACCATTGTTGGTTGCCTGTAAATCAATCGCTTAAACAAACTAAATCATCTGAAATCTACAAAATTAAAAAAATATAACAATCCACATAAATAACTTATTTTCTGGGCAAATAATCCTCGTTCGCTAAATGAAGCCGAAAAAGATGAACTAGTTGCAAGAATTGATAATGAGATAGTAGAAAAGAAACCTCAATTGCTTTTCTTCACTGAGACCTGGTTTGATCAAATGTCAGACACTCAACTGCCCAGTTACCATCTCCATAACAAAAACCGAGGAAGCAGAGGAGGGGGTGTAGCATTCTAAATAAAATGTGGTATCCCAGCAAATCAAACAAAAATAAATCAACTTAACTCGACAGATATTGAATAACTATGAAGAGTGATAATGATAGGCGGTGAATCTATCTTAAAAGGCTGCATATACCGACCAAACGATAATGATATTGGAGTTTTAGAAAAAGTCATCAAATCAATTGATTCAGCAAAGCAGAGCTTGTCAATACTAGGCTGTTCGTCTGTCCTAATTTA